GAGGTCACATTGAATTAATTATTTACTACGTTATGGCAATATTTAGATATTTGCATCAGATTCCTTTGGTGACAGTTTCATTTTTTTCGCCAACTTGTGTTGTAAGGTGAGGAACAGATTTCATCAGACAACTGTTGTAAGCGGAGGAAAGTATTGCATCAGACAACTGTTGTAAGCGGAGGAAAGTATTGCGTCAGACAACTAGCGTCTTCACTTCTGTTTGCCTGGGTAGCTGAAGGTATTTTGCGATTGGTTGCCTTCTGACGCTGGATCTTTTTTTCATTGGGCGGCAAAACTTAACTGTGGAACTTTATAAAAGGGGTATTTTTTTTGTCTACGAAGGGAGAAGGAGGAGATTGTGAAGGTGCGAGATGGAGATGCTGCATAGAGAAAGACAATAAGAGTGGAGTAAAATGCAAACTTTTGGGAGTTTATCGTGCAAGCTTTCTTTGGTCTCCCAGTGTGTATGAAGGAAGCGAGTTTTCTTTCTCTTTGATGTTGTTGTAGCTGCAAAATTTAAGCTAATCTCCTTTTTTTTCCCGGGCTTGGCATTTTCGCCCGGCATCCCGATGAAGAGTACCTGCATGTGTTTGAGCTGAAATACACCAAGTCTTCGAAGGGCTGTGTGGAAGAATTGATCTATCCTTTTTTTTGTTCTGAGTGAGAAGGCCTCATATCGTCATGTGACATACCGGATTAAAAAAAAAAGGAATATCTTCAGTATTGTTAGTATCCAATAAAGCAAGAATTAAATCTGTTTTCACGTGTTTGTCACTCTCTCGTCACGGCGAGCTATAGACCTGGATCTTGTCCTGGGGTAAGTTGCCACTATAATCCTGTTTATCATAACATGTGACATATACATTTGCCACCACAACCAACGAAATAACCAATCATTACCACAGATAGTTAGAGGATGTTATTGATGACACATATGAAATCCAAGAATCCCTCTGGCCTTGCCTTCTTACTTTTCATGCACTTGCTTTGGCTCTTTTAAATACTATAAGGTTTTGCAAAGTAGGGTATCTGCAAAAAATTCCCCATGCTTTTTTCTGCTTTTTCACTGCTTCATGGCAGTCATGATTCAACCATGGTTTTGAATACTTTAGCATTTTTCCTGATGTTTAAGGGATGAAGCATAGCTGCCTGAATAATAGTATTAGTAATTCTTCAACTGTGTCGTCGATATGCACATCTTCTACCATGTTCTCTGTGAGCTCTGCAGTGGAAGAGAAGAGTTCCCAGTCTGCCCTATCAAGTATGAACTGATGAATTTCGATATGGGGTTTGCTTTTCTTTGTGCAAGAGATAAAAAAATGGGATAACGATCGATGTTGTAAATATCATTTCCCACACTAGAAGTGTAAAATGGCAAAAGAGATGGTGAACAGATGGCAAGGTCAAGAGTGTGGAATCAAAATTGTAATGATCAGGGTCACTTCTTTCCCTACATATGCACAAATCCTGGTGCATCTGAAAGCAAGGAATTCTGAAGTTACAATAATAACAAAATACTTTGTATTATATAATACTAGCAGCTACGCGGCCAGCTTTCGTCTGGTTTTTAAATGTACCGGATAAAAGTCTGAAAGGAACACCAAATGCTAAATTTCAAAAAAATTAATAAAAATTAAAAAATAAATAAATTAATTTTTTTTAAATTATTACATATAACAAAATTACAATGAAGTAAGTAATGTCCCTTAATGCAAATATTAATTATCCTAATAAATAAATTAACCAACTTTCCGTTGCCTTCTCTCAACAAATGCCCAGCATCCAAGAGGAACATTAAATTTAAAAACTGCACATAATTATTGCCTTCATTTTTCCAAGTGGCAACAGCGCTGACTTTCAACAGTCAGCAGTCCAGTATACAATTGAATGAAAAACTGTTGCCAAAACCACATTTCTAAAAGAATGAAACTATTTAAAATGATGTGATAAACTCAAAAAGATAAAATTTAAAAAATCTTATTCGAAAAATCTTATTTGTGCACTGGCTCTTGTCTAAATGCACCTACATATACCAAATTTCATAGGGTTCCTTGCTCCTGGGTTATTAGCTCACGTGCAACCCGATTAAAAGACACATAGTATCTTTCTTTTATTATATGCAGAGGTTACATACACTTGCAAGGGATGACATAACAAAAAAAAATCAAAGGAAAAAAAGAAAATCTGAAAACTTTCAGATTTTATATTACGCCCAAAGGTGCACTTTTTTAATGTTTTGTGTGTTACCTTTATTTACTAAATATCATGTTCTTTGCACTTAAACCATAAAATTAAATTCAACAGCAATATTGCAAAATAATTTTAAAATGAGCATATCTTTAGAACTTCCGATACACAATTTTGCGCACTGGAGATAATTTTTTTTTCCCCCCATAAAATGCTGCCATTGCTCGGTTTGAAATCATTGAGTTTCTTAATCAAAAACTCATAAATGCTTTATAATATATGAAATAGATAATAAAACAAATTCCAAACTTGAGCTTCCAAATGCCTGTATTTAGGTTGAGACGTACATTATTCAAAATTTGACAGCTCTAGCTATCGTTGTTTTATTGCAGAGCTTCTTAAACTGTAAGCTGCTACCTGTAGCAATGGTTCGCCAAACAGTTTTGATATTTCTTTAACTTATTTTAATAATTTTACAATTACCAACTATTTTTACAAAATAGATAAAAATAAGACAATACAGACAAAGAAAAAAATGAAAACGTTTCGACGTATTCTTTTTATAATATAAACGTTCATTTTCCTTGCTTTGCACGTGACGCTATCATTTCAGCTGTTACTTATTTAAAATTTTAACATTGTTCTATGTCTTAAAATTAGAAATTAAAGTTAACAACCTAAAACTGCAATAGTATATTACAGTACAAGTGAAAAAATTGACCATCTCGCTCACGCTTGTGTCGAATTTGTGCAATACTTATAGGGTCCCACAAAATTTTTGTAAATATGATGGGGTCCTGGGGGTCCCAAAAAAATCTCAGTGATAAAAAGGAGTAGCGACTGTAAAAAGTTTAAGAAATCCTGTTTTATTTCAATGCGAGAAACATGCATATAATTATGCAGATTCTTCATTTTTTAATTTCTTTAAATACAATACAGGACGATAATATTTGGGGGTAAGAATTTGAAAATTGATTCAGACTTTTAAAGTTTTCAACGCGAAATGCCAAAATGAAATCAATAGCTCTTCTGGGTTAATGCCCTTTGAGCTAAAAAAAGTATTGTAGGAAGAGCAATAATCACTAATCTGACACTGATCCATGAATGCATATTTTTACTTGTGGTGAGGATAGCCAAGAAGTACAATACTGGGATACTCTATTTCACAAAACCACCACCCTTCCTGCTTGGCACATGGTTTTGTAATTTTTAAATCACTCATTTTATTAATTAAATAAATAGCAGCTAAGGTAAACCAAGAACAACTGAAATCAACAGATTATGGACACACAATTTAATTAAAATTTCCACCATGCATTTCTAAATCATGTATTTAATTCATAAATTTTATGTACATAAGAGTTTTTATAATTCTAACCTCTACTTAATTTTAAAACAAGCACTTTATTTCATCATACACACATTTACATAATTTTGAAGTACCTTACCATATTTATTTGCAGGACCAATATTTCAGTTTTGATTCACATTACTGCATTTCTAATATTTCTGTAACCTTCTAGCATGCATGCTTGGCAATTTTACATGACCACACACCTGTTGCATTTTTTACAACATCCCTTATTTTACAGTTTTGGGCACGAAAAACGACAGAAATGAGTGAATATTGATAATAAATTTGATAAGAAATAAAATATTAATCTTATTATTGCAAAATACAAATGATATCACATTCAAATATAAGTAAATTATTTTTAAGTTTTTATGTTAGTGAGATAGAAATGCAATGATGTAGTTCATTATAGAAACTTTTAAATTTATTATTTAAAATTATATTTTAAAATCGAAGTTAATTTTAATATTCATCGAAGACAAGTATAGACAATAAAAAAGGAAAACAACCTGGGTAGGAAAAAAAGTAAGTAAGTTTAGCATTACTTACTTCTGCAAGGAAATTTACTTCTTACTGGTTACAAAAATGCACTTTAAACTAACTTTAATGTTTTATTTATTTCTAAAAATATAAATAAAAGAAAATAAGAATTGGAAATCGCTATTGTTCTCCCATCCAAAGGTTTCTTTGTCTTCCTTTTCTTCCTCAGATAATTCTTGAAGAATCCGAACTAAATCAGCTGGTTGCATATATTTTTTCGCCATGAAAACCGATATAAAATTTACAGAGCTAAATGTATTCAAATTAAAATAATACGCGGCAATTAATAACATAAAAGTATAAAATATTTGAGAAAAAAATATTTTCCGAATTTTAAAACACCATCAGGCGTGTGTCGTAACTTTTATGAAAAAGCTGCCACATAGCACAAAAGCCCAGTTAAAAAAAAAAGTCAAATGACTTCCTGTTGGCACATTCCATGATGTGGGGAAGGGTAGAAAAGAGGAATAGAAACGACCTTCAGACGTCTCAGCTTTGATATGCGAAAAATGTGCATTCAAAACTGAATTTGTCGTAAATTTTGCGAATACGTGCATGCTGGAAGGTTAAAGAAAATACATTTATCTTGAAAATGGATATAAGAAAAAATTTTAAGATGATAAAACATATCCTGACAGGTATATTTCATTTATGAAATTCACAGACTAGTTATTACCTTGGCATATCTTCATTAATCTGAATGACATGCCAAATTTGTTGGCATCTGCTATTCAAGAACATAAGGAAAACACTGATTAAATATTATATAATTCACAGCAAATAATTAAGATGATAAATAGCAGCCTAGATGAAAAATTAATATTTTTTTAATATACATATGCTAAGTTACAACCATATGACTGCACAAATTTTAGTTAACACTCAAATAGTATAGAAAAAATATTTCAAGTGATTTTACCTTCACTCTTCACACACATCTGAAGTAAATAATTACTGGCACATTTGAGTTCCTCATCAGAAATAAGGAGGTTTTTCTTCAATAGCTTATCAAAATGTTCAATTTCTAACAAATATGATTTGTTCTCACCTATTAAAATCAAAAAGGCATTAAGTACAATATTTTAGGAAATGAATAAGGTAATGCACATATGCATACACAAATAAAAAGGAGGATGAAGAGAGGGAAAAAAAAAAGCATCATTATCTTATTCAAGTATGCTAAACTAAGAATTACATTTCCGGTAAGAGGATTCCTTTCAATGAATGAATTTTGAAACATAGCTTTTATTAATTCAGATAAAGAAAAGATTCTAAAGGTGATTCTGGGCATCTGTTTAAACATACTTTTGAAATTTTGCAGTTCTCATAATTACTCCTTTGTAGTTATGACACAAATGTACATCAAATACTTCTTAAAAATTCAAATTTTATGCACATATAAGTTCATTTACGATTCTCTTAGATTTATTCATAATAGAAACCAGAAAAGAACTTAAAATAGCCATATAACCAATCCAGCAAGCCAGTAATAATTACTTATGATTATTTTTACACTGATGGCAAAAAATCAAAGGAACAATACAAATCTCATGTAACGTGAAAGATTTTGTGTAAGAACATGGTATTTGAACTAGATCTTTATTATGTTGTGCTTGACATATCTTCAAAAAGCTCATTTCTGCAAAAACTTAAGAACATAGAAAATGTGAATAAAGTGGGTTAGAGTAAGGTCAGTGTTTCAACTGTTTAGAGATGCATAGAAAAAATTTAATTATGTAAGTTATGACATTTTATGTTAATTAACCAATTATGATTTAAACCTTTAATGTAACTTCTCCTTTTCGTAGTCCTCATCAGGATATAAATTAAGTTGTACAGCTTCTGTATGCGCCAAAGTTTGCTACCATTACACCACAAAGGCATGCAGAAAGGATGGACCTTATATACTGCCCCTTTTAAAGGGCGAATGGGGATTAAGTGACCGAATCTCCAAATCCTGGTGGTGAAGAATCATCATTCACCACCTTTTAGTTCAGGTGCCACTGTAGAATCATTAGGTTATTTTGAAGAAGGAGTGCATGAAAAATTAGCAATGCCCTCTCCGGTACTTGAACCTGGACCTCTCAAATACATACCAAGTGTCCTACTATTACATCATGAAGGCATGCAGAAAGGATGGGGAAAATACCTTGTAAATTAATTGGTATATATCTAAGAAAAGATTCACATATTTTTACATGAAATTTGACTAAAAACATAATTATTATTATCGTTATCTTTAGTTGCAAAAATTCAATTTTGTGAAAACAAATTATAATAAAAGTAAACATTAAAAATAAATTTTTTTCACTGATTGGGAATTAAAACATTTTCAATCAGAACTCTATATATTAAAACAAAATTATGCATGTTCATGCTACCTGTGAATAAAATTAGAGTTTTCAGGCTTAAGTACGTTAAAGTTAGTCTTTTCATAATTTCCTTTGTACAAGAGACATTTATTAACCCTCTAGCAGCAAGCATAAAATTCATTAAAAAAAAATCCTACCATTGTGCGAAACTGATCGCAGTTTAAATCTAAATGCTGATACAATAAGAATGCCCCCAAAATATTAACCTGTATATTAACGATAAAAGGTAAACGCATTATTCATGGATCCTGTGCTTGAAGAGTAGGCCCAACTATTTTTGTTTGAATGAAGAATCCAAAATGACTTAGTTTTCTGGGTAGTTTCCCTTCACTCCAATGCAAACAGCCATTTGATTATTTAGGAGTTGAATAGCAGCAGAGAAATAAAATGCTTTATGTAAGCCCTGAAACATCCCTGAATAGCAGAGTGCAAAAATTCAGCTCTGTTAGACAGTGCATTGTTATTTAAATTCAATATGTCTTGGCTAACTTTCTCACAGCATTTTCCATTTATGGTCCATTAAAGTTTTGTCAGTGAACCGGCATGATTAAACATCTGTTACCAGAATATTACATAGCAAATAATGAATGAAAAATGGCCCCTCTTCCTTTGCAAAAGTAATGACCCAAATCTTCTCTCGAGTTTGCAAGACTGGAGTGATCCGTTGTGTTGCCATAATATACTCTTGCTTCTCTTTTGGATTACAGTAGAGGATTTGTCTCTCATATGCTATCATCAGCTGTGAAGAAAAGATTATCTTGAAGGCATCTCATACGCTGTCTTTAGCTGTGAAAAAAAGATTATCTTAATCGGTCTTTATTGTATAGAACAGCTCTGAGAACATTCAACTTGCTTCTTCTTTATATCTAGCATCAGGATTTGAGATATCTATTTGGGCATATCCTTAACATACCCAGCTTCTTATGCAACATATTTTTTCTCCTTTGATCCAACATTAACGGATATTTCAATTGGATATTGAGAAACTGTTACATGTCAATTTCCTATCATATATTTCTTAACATCCACACATATTTCTTTTGTGGTTATACTCCCAGGTCCAAATTAAGACCTTAAGAGGCCCTAAACACTTTGTGCCCACATATATTTACAACATAATACTTGTTTCTTCTCCATTTCTTTCCTCTCAGTCTTAGTTTAGTTGCACCACAAATTCCATGCTATAATAAAAAAATTTTATGGTGCCCCTGCCTTTAATCCTTAAGCAGCTTCTTGTGGTCTTTGCTTTCCCTGATGCCTTAAGGATGTATTTAATTTGCTTAATGGTTAATCCAGCTCTGGATCTCCCCACAGTGGTACTTCTAGGATAGCTTTCGAATGACGTTCTCCAGGGGCTAAACACAACAACCCTCTTTTCACACAGGTATAAGATTCAATGGTGACTGTAACCATACATTCATGAAGTTATTCACTAAACCCAGTGATCAAGAACTCGACCAAATTAATTTTGATGTTTTCAACATTCAGATACATTGCTGATTAACAAATTTTTACAGTTCTACGAAAACAATACTAGTAGCACTTACATTTCATTTGATGTAATTCTTTATGTTTCATCATTCTACAAATATTGCATCATAGTTAGGTTTTAAAACTTACTGAAAGTCTTCCATACAATGATTCCACTAACAGCCTTCTGTGAAATAAGAGACAACTGGTGCAAACATGAATGCAGGAGATAATAAAATTTTCTACTAACCAACTATCCTCACATCTATGTGGCCATTTTCATGCTGAACCATTTGTATTCACTTTTATTACATCCCAAGGTTCATGCATCAGTCTCACTTTTGAAATGTACTGATGGAAACTAAGTTATTCTTAAGTTTTTCTCAGCTATACATGTCTCATGCCATTATATGTATCTTACCTATCTTATTGTTTTATTCTATTTTACTCTTCCACATACTGGCTAAAAACGAAATTTTCTTATTGCCAAATAAATAGTGATGCTAATAATTCAATTTTAGCCTTTTTAAAATAAATAAAACTAACTGACAAAGACATCTTTACAGCTACAAAAGTCTTCATTCATGGCCCCATTCAGACGAGGGCGTAAGGGGCATAAGTGGTTAAAGCCGAGCTCCGTTGCCAAGGCAAACAGTCTCTGCTACGTCACAGAATCTGGTTTAGAGCTTGTGGCATAGGGGTCAAAGTTTTTAACTTTACAGCGAGTTTGGGATAAGCGTTGACCAATCAGAGCGAAGCTAAAACAAAGCCGCTTTCTTTAGACGATTTTGCTGTCACATCGAAGGCGACGTTTTTTTTAATATGGAACACATCGTATCCGAAAGAAACAATGAGTTGTAATCGTATCCGAACGAAATAAAGAGTTGATCTCGCAAGAAATCTACGATGATGACATGCATTTTTTAATGAGTTTTTTCAATTTATATTGAAAAATATGGATGAAACTCGTAAAGCGACAGTTAAGCTCAGGATTATGCACGCTGTGTATGATCCTGTAGATGATTGATCCCATCCAATATTTTTCATTTTATTGTGAAAATTCTTTAAAAAATGCATGATTGCAAAAATTTTATTTTTTCTGTGTAAATTATTATTATTACTTTCTTTCTGTATTACTGTAATTTTTTTTTTCCTGTTTAATTATTTTTGTATTTAAGAATAATTTTTTTGAAAAAGCTGGAAATATTGTATTGCTATTTGCTTCAAATGCTGATTTTCTTTCCAAACAAACTTCATGAATTAATTTTACTAAAAAACAATCAAATTAATATCAAGATCTGCTTTTTTTTTTTTTTTTTTTTTTTTTTTTTTTTTTTTTTTTTTTTTTTTTTTTTTTTTTTTTTTTTTTTTTTTTTTTTTTCTTTTTTTTTACAGTAAAAATATTACTTTAAAGAAAGAAAAAATTATTTTCACTTATTTAAAAAAATAGTCACAATTGTCAATTCAATGGTGTAAGCTTTCTATAAGTAATAAAAGATTAATCTTTTGAGAAAATGCTCTTATGAATTCCAAGAAGGAAAAAATATAGTGAAATATCCTTAAAACAGTCAAGAGTCTAGATAGTTTTATCTCTTGTTGAAGTTCTGTTCTGTTTTTTAATTACGTTCTCCATGAAAGGAATTTACTTTTAATGAAACTGAATAGAACACATAATTCGTAACATGGACTATAATTTAATGAATAGTATTTATTATTATTATCCACTCTTTATTACTATCATTTGAATGGAATTTTGATCATTAAATTCATGCTATTTCTCAGGGTAGAAATTCCTGGATAAGGTATGAATGTTTATAATTTCGATGTATTTGAAGACTTGCATACCTAAAATTTGTCAATGTGAAATTACTTTTGAGATTTGGTCATAAATAGAAATGACAGCATATGTTGAAATTAAATTCAGGGGTGCAGCTTATACATGCAAATTATTAGAAATAGGTGCATACAAATAGCTGGCAACACAGCAAAATGTATTTAATGATTGAGCATAAAATACATTGTTGGGTGAATGTTTCCTAGTATTGTACTAGTTGTGGTTGCTGGTCATTGTGACCAGTTGTGGGATACTAGTACTAGTGATAATTGATACTGGTAGTGCAGCAAACTACTATAGTGATCGACAGGGACAGTGAATGAGTGCTAAGCAGACATGTTTCACTGTCATAGAAACATGTTCCTTTTGATTGAAAACTGAAATAATAATAATAATAATGTATGGTAAGTACTGTTTTTAGCTTAACTGCTTTCACACCTGCAAAATGGAAAAATATTATATACAGGCTATCTGTTAATTATCCTCAAGATTTTTTTTTTAAATTAGGCATATTTAGAATATCGTATTTTTCTCCTAAGAGAAATTATATATAAAAATTGAAAAAGGTTTTATATATATAAATATGCATGTTCATGTTTATAATATAGAGAGTACTACAGTATATTCCACACTGCTTTGCACAGATATATACATATGTGCCAACCAAGTATTGGTCTTTCAAAAAAATATATCTCAACCATTTCGTTCTTTTTCATTTTTTACCTTCTTCCGTTGCCTCTTGGCTAATGAGAAGAGCAGATAAAAGATCATTCTGTTGAGCCAGTAAAACTTTGTGGAGAGCTAAAAAAGCCATGACACAATGAAAAAAATGAGCAGAGAGAATACTCAATCGAGCGGGAGAACAGCACGGGAAAGTTGTAGACATTCCACTCATGCGCAAATTTAGCTTTTCTCATTGGCTACGGCTTACACATCATTCTCGCAGGTGTGAACGGGTCTCCCGTATTTTATGCCCTTATGACTATGCCTCTATGCTCTTTATGCCCACGTCTGAACGCACCTTAATACAACAGTTTAGATTGCATCATGGATAATATAAAACATACAAAATTTCTCAATGCAACATATTAAATCATACAAAATATATATTCATGGTATTTATTAGCAAAAATGATATCTAACTTGAAAAATACTTTTGGCAATATCTAAAATTTAAAAATCATCATAATTAAATCATAATAAATTATCAATACCTAAATTTAAAATTATAATTCCCTACTTGAAGAAATTTTAATTACAACATGCTCTTACTAATTATTATTTAATTAATAATTTTAATTAAGAAACATTTCTAATTTACTTTTAGTTAATATAAATATCAGTATGAAACATCAGATAAAAAAAAAGATAATGACGTATAAGATGATCTGACACATTATCACAACTATCTTAGTCGTCATAATTCCAGAATGCTCTAAACTCTGGCAGCTATTGTATTGTACATAAACATTCTTCAGGCAACCACGTTCATAACAATTTTTTATTCAAGCAAAGTCACCATTGCTTGAATGGCGACTTTGCTTGAATGAATCAGTCAAGTCACCATTTTCATATGAATTCTTTTTGCTGTATTCCAGGATCAAATGGCTTTTATAAACAGATCATAATTTTTGTTTTCAACTCAGTTTTAAAATATCACCAGTGGAACTGGCCAGCAATGGAAAAAACTACATTAAAATTTCTTCAGGGATACAGTATATTGATGGAAAATTGCTAAAAAGAACAATGGTTGGTTTATGTTGAGAATGAGAATTCAAAGTCGGAATCATGGGTTCGCATCTACATGAAGCAGGGTGTTTGCATTGTCCTGAAAGGCAAAAGTCATTTCAATTTTCCCGAAGACACTTTATTGAAGCACAAAACACATACACAAAAATAACAACGAAAATGTTTGTTTCAAAACTCGGCACAAAAGGCACACACTCTCATAGCCACATCGATTGATCTAATTCCTATACATTCCAAAAGCTGATGTTATTACCACAGCTTCAGTTCACTTCAATTCGCAATATTTTATGTGATTATGGCAAAGCCCCAAGCGCTATCTGCCTCCATGAAATACTTTCTAAGGAAAACTGGCTCATATGCACGCTACATATGGGGAAAACTACGAAAATGCCCATGCAGTCAGCCCGTTCACAGGATTCGAACCTCAAACCGAACTACCAGTGTTCCAAGACTTTACTGCTGGGTCGCTGGTGGGCCTAAACAGAAAGAACAATGAAGAGATGATTTAGGTAAATAACTGATTTGCAATGCCGAGTCTATACAATTCTCTGACATTTTTTTAAGAGAAAACAGATGCCTGTGTACAAGTGAACAGTATTACAAAATTAGAGAATAATTTCATAAAAAATGTCAAGTGTTTTACTTTTCTTGATGCTTCATCATATAATCCTCATTTAATTTTTGTAAATGTTTTTTTTTTTTTTTTTTTTTTTTTTTTTTTTTTTTTGTTTTTTTTTTTTTTTTTTTCTTTTTTTTAATGTTGATAAATTTTGTTTTTTTTTTTTTTTTTTTAGATTTATGTTTTTTTTTATAATATCAATTTATGATAAATATCAATAGTTTGGGAATGCTTTTAAAAAAAATTCACAGAAATCACACACTTGCTCTCATCAAGTAAAATAATTTTATCATTTTTATCAATAAAAAAAATCACAAGATTGTGCCATGGTGATTGCATTAATAAGCTATGAAAAAATAAATGCTCTTCTGAATCAAATAAAGTTTGAAAATGCAAACATCTTAGCAAAAAAAAAGTGTATTTGATGAATACTTACAATAAGCATCAATACAATTCCCAAGAGCTAATATGATTCTAGTCTTTAATTGAGTACCAATTACCTCAAGAGATAACAATTTTGCCAGTAAATTCAATGCTCCAAGCTTTCCAAATATGACAGCATTCTTTTCTATAAAAAATAATAAATATAAATAAGTTCGTTTTAAAGAATTTTAATTTTAATTAATTTTTCATAATTATTAAAGAATTCAATAATTACGAAAATTAAATGAATTAATAATTACAAATTTTTTTTTAAATTCTAACAAATAATTGTTAGAATTTTTTAGAAAAGTTTTATATTAAAACAAATTAAATCTAAGCAGGTAAAGTATAGCTATGCTCTGAAAAATTTTACACAGGCATTTTGAAAGCCTCATGTGATAGCATTCTTTGGTTCACATCTTTTAATGTTCACATCTTTAATGTTAATTAAATATAAAATTTTGCTTCCCATCAAAAGTACATCAGATGCCAAGACACATTTAATACATCAGGAATGGCAAAACTGTGGCTTGCTAGCCTCTTGAGACCCTTTGGTGTCTTAAATGTAACTTGCTTTCAAAAATAATAGTTTAATTTTCAAAATATAGTTGCTTTTTAAAAACAAAATCATACAATGACACATTTCTTTTTTATTAATTAATTCAACTTTTTAACTTATGTTTGTAATGATTTAATTGATTTTAAAACACCTGCTGCAAGCTTATTATCAGAATAACAAGCAAAATCGCAATAATTCGATTTTTGCCTATTACTATATTAGCTTAGATTACATGAATATTGCAAAGCATAAAATGACTATCTGCCTAAGGGATGGCATACTTTCCTATGACTTTCTGTAGGAAACTGTCTTGTATTCACATGGCAATTATTATTATGGTTATACTGCTTTTAGAAGCAGATAAAGGCCATCAGGAAAGCACAAAATATACAAATATGAAAGTAATCTAAAATGCAATGTGCAATTTTTTAATTAATTTAATTAATTATAATTTAATTAATTTTATTAAGCTGTTTTTCGTTACACTTCTTCTGCTCAATACTCAATACTTTTGCTCTAAGCAATGCTCAATACTTTTTTTCTCTAGGGTTAATTTTATTTCAAGCTGTTTCTAGTTACACTCCTTCGTTGCAATCCCCTTGCTTCACAACAACAACCACGATCTAAAGTCTCGGAAGATTTACTATAGGGTCCTACTTTTATTCAAACCTTCAATGATTTTAACTGATGAAGAAATCTCTTTCAAGGAGGAAAATCATTTTCTGCGTAGGGGCTCTTTCTATCTGTGAAATAATTTAAAAACTGGGGTTTTATGATTGTGAGGTAAACTTTCCCATTTATAATTGGTTAGGAGACACATCATAACTTCCTCATGTGTGAGTGTCCTCCAAAATTAGTTTTTCATTCCTAACTAAATCAGGTTATTTCTATGCAATTTCCTTGATAGTTTTCTCAACCACTCATACTGCAGTTATATGTTTTCCACATGGAACTTTTATCTTTAATGATAATTCCTTAATGATGCTATGCGGAGATTACCATTTATTTCACCAATTTTTTATTAAATAAGAAATTAATTAAGTTTTGGGGATCATAAGAAGAATGGATTTCTCCACTGGATTGACAGAATTTTAATTCTGGCCAAAGTTTGTAAGTATGCTTGGTCAATTCACCACTGCCTATAGCCCAGAGCAAATAGTTTGTTAAATATTGCCACAGATGCGTGGAAAACTCATTACATGTGAAGCACTATATGTGAAGTGCACTATATGTGAAGTAGAATAAAATGATTTGCATACAAAATAAAACAGAGGGTTAGTTGCTGTATAAAATGAAGAGGAATTTCAAACCATTTTCCAGAACTCCAGCACTGATAACGCCAATGATTCCATTGATGGACTGAAGGTAACTGTTTCTTATAAGATTGTCACAGAGCTTCATGTCAGAAAGTATTAAATCAAATATCTTCTGTAAACATCTCTTTAAGATAAGAAAGCCATCACATTCAGCAAAAAAGTCTTGATTTTTTACTAGAAAAGAAATCTTTAGTTCAGGCTTTTATTTAAGTAATTTAGTTCTTATTTAATAAAAAATTAACTGTGACTGAAATTTGTTAAATTAAGTTTAATGTACATTATCTTATCAGCAAGTGAATTACAGATTTAGCTTCAGTATTATGGGGGGGGACTGTTCTTCTTGCATAAGATGAATTACAATTACCAAAGAAACTTTATGAACTTAATTGAATTTTAAAACTTATAAATACATATGAATCCTGAAGAATGTGATTTGCATTGCATGGATCCACACACATGTGAACAAACATGATGATGAACAAATTTTTAATATAAATACTACAAAATATTTTGAAGATTTATAGCAATTTAAAAAAATTAGCAGACATATTATACAGCTTACAGATAATAAAAAAAACAAAAAGTTAAGATATGTCATGAATATATATATGAGTGATCTATTTCAAGATTAATTGTCATAAAATCAAACAGCACACAAATATTTTCCTACTTCAGATGATACCATGAAGCAAAAGACATAAAAACAAATATAGGATTTTTCATATTTGAAGGAAATTCAATCAGAATTCAATTCAATTGAATTGAAGAATTAAATCAGCAGAAATTCAATTAGAAATATCTGGGATTAAAAATAATGCTATTATGATTATTGTGGGCACTGAACAGCTACAAACTTACAAAGATTTTCAAAATGATACACATATTTAGTTTACTTCAAATATATCAGAACACCTAAGCAGCATTAAGAATATTTTTAACACTGCCAGTTACTGTCATCAGTGTCAAAATGAGCTTCATCAAACTCAAATTTTTTTTAAAAAAAAAGGTATTTAATATCTTTACCTGCTCCAGAAGAATTAACAAACATGGCCATTCTCTCTACAGAATATAAAATAAGAGAAAGTAGATTTTGAAAATTACATGATTTTCATTTAAAATTAAATAAAATAAAATTTTGAAAAAAAAAAAGGGGGAGATAAAGAAAAAGCTTGAAAGTTAGTGCAGAGCTTTTAATAATAACTGTATTATCATCACAAAGCGTTTTATATTAATTGTATTATTATCTTTATAGTACCTCAATGCTATTTATTAAAAAGGTATTTTTCAACTTATTAAAAAATTGAAAATTATTATATGTTTCAGTTTGCTGAATACATAAAACCATGTTTAAACATTATTATAAGAGTTATGGTACTTTGATTTAAAATAGCTACTTTTAATGAATATAGCAGTTTTAATTACTTTGCATTATGTGTGTCTGACACCACAGGCATTTTATCACTATTAGTTCATTTTGCAGCTTTGTTGCAACTTAGTTGATATGAAATGCTACACAAAGGTAGACAATGTTTTGATTGTGAAAACTTAGAATGTGAGTGTTAAGCACAGACTGTTAGGAAAATATTCAGTCTTTGAGCTTAAAAGTGCACCCACTAAAACAACAGTTCAGAAATTGATAAGAAATTTGAAGACACAGGTTAGACAACTGGCATTAAATCTTCATGCTTTTGATTCAGCCACTCTATTGGAAATATGGCAGTGTTACTTTAAATACCAAAGAATCCATACTTAAAAGGAAACAAGAAAGAGGAAATTGAACATGACATGAGCCACCTTGATTGGCAGATATGTGAAAAAGTCATTACAAATATCATCCAAAGAGTATCGTTCTGCAGAGCAAGTCACAAAATACATATGCCAGACATTATTTATTAATGGAAAAACTAAAACAAGTACTTTTGTTAGAACACAAACATACTTTGTTGTTTATACATACACACATCTATATATACAGTACAAAGTCTGAAATCCAGACTCATCGGGACTTTGGCAATTCCAGATTTGGGATTTTTCTGGATATTAGATCACCAGTTTAAATCTAGTACGATGGCATGTAGATATTATAAAATTAAAAATATGAAATCGTGATTTATGAAATAATGAAGTATTTATGATCTAAAGAATAGCAAAATTTATAAAAAAAAAAAGCTTAATTTTTTTTTTATCTTATTAAACATTTCTTTCAATGTAAGTTGTTTAAGATGGATAGTTTTTTCTGCTAATACTTTCTCTTCAATTCTGTAGACAGACATAATTTCTTGTTTAGTTACATTGTTGAAGTCCTGTAATTGCAGTTTTGAGAATTCCGACTAACTTGTCAATCGATATTTTCTCGTTTTCAGTAACTTCTCCATCACTTTCTTCACTATCGGTAGAGGTATTTTATGGATCTAGAACCATATTACAGATTTCACCATTCATTAATTGATTGATGATTGAGAAGCATTGTCATCACAATGAAAAACTTCCTTTATATCATCTTCATTTATTACTGCTTCTCCACATTTCTTTACAAAACCTGTTAATTGGAAATTTTCTCCTTTGTTTTGCAATATCCAAAACCTATAAAATTAGCAGCTTTCATCATAAAATTTAGCTATCCTTCACTATGCATATTTGGCTATGCATCATGAGCTTGGCGACTAACAAGGACAAGTTGTTCCGTTAAATTTTATCTTGCTTTTTACCACGCACTGAGACAATTAAGCCCGAATTGTATTAGTTTAGTTATTTATTTTACTTATGTCTGTTTTTTGCACATGCTTAAGGCTTATCAGAATTCTGAATAAATACATTTTGACATATACTTAAGCATTATTGAGGGCCGGCACTAGATATCTTACCACCAGATGCAGTCCCTGTGGGTCGTAAATTCTGCGAATCGGTGCAGCAGATCATTCCGGATAATGGACGTCTGGATTTCGGACTTTGTATTGTATATATATTCTGCAGGTATCTTGAAATTAGAAAACAGCTGCACAAACACACAAAATGGCACAAGATAACAGAGAAAAGGAAAACTTAGCAGATATGGCCATAGATTCAAAACATAAGCTTATTTCTTGATAACTTATTTTTTAGAACAGATATTCTTTGTTACCAGGGGGGTCCTGTGACAAGCTGACCATTTGTTCAGAGCATATGCTTGCGCACCCCAGGGCACACGGTCAAGAAAGCAGATTTTCGGGTACTGCAGGCCTTGGCCCATTAGGGCTGTTACGCCACTGAGTTTAGTTTATTCTTTCTTACACATTGCAATTATGGGATGAGATATGCACCCCCACATATTTATGTAACTTTTCACATTGCTAGATGATAGATGAAGTGGAGAAATAAGCATCACATATTAACACAGCAAGAGGCAGGGAAGGAAGGAAACTGAGTATGCATTTCAGCAATGAAATATTAATAAAGTTGGCTTCTTTGTTGAAATTTTGAACTGTAATAGGATAAAAAGTATCCACTGTACTACTCTTATATAATGACATAATGTGGATTAATTTTCAGATAACTTACTTCACATTCATATATTAGCAGTTTTAAAACAGAAAGGGGACACAGCCAAATTAAAATGAGAAATTATAAGAACTAAGGCTAAATTAAAATTAGTAATTTTCCTTCATATTTCATTTCTATATATAAATGCGTCTTTATTTAAATCAATCACATTAAAATATATATATATATATATTTTTAAGAAATGTGTCTATTTCTTTTAAATCGCTTAGTTAATTACTCAATAGTATTTTAGATTAAATGTGAAAGTATCTCAGGCTTATATATACATGCACACACACATATATATACATCATACACATATAAGTTTTAAAATATTTAAAATCCCTCCCATAATCATTTTGCAACAAACCATATGTGAAAAACAAAAAACCAGGAACACAGTTGCAAACTACGTGATGGAAGAAAAAATGCCAAAACCAAAAATGAAAAGGAAAAGAGAAATTTATATCCTACACCTGCATCATCATTTAGGGGTTTGTGCAATGAAAGTAAAATAGCCTGTTTCTCAGCCAACAAAGATACAAATTAAAGTTTAAATCATAATCTCAGAAAATTGATCAAAGTAATCTGTGTCTTTACCAGTCCAATAAAATCCAATGCATTTATCAGTCCAAATGATTAATTTATTGATCAATTGGACTGATATTTAAGATATTACACCAACCCATTACTGATGGTAAATCACTCTGCTTGATGACAGTATTTATTTGTCGAAAATTGTTGATGGTTAAGTACGTAAGTAGCGAACTGGTTCATAAAATATTAACTAAAATTTTAATAAAAAAGTTTCATTTTTAACCTGTACAGTTCCAAGTGCTGCAAAATATGTAATGTTATTATAAAAAGAAAAAAAATGTAAGCTATAAGAATCTAGTTTAATAATAGGAATTTCATGCATATGAAATTTTTAACTCGTGAACTTAAAACTGCTTCTTGAATTTATTGAAAAAAAAATAAAACAAAAAATAATAAACTGTAGAAACAAAATTTTCAATATTATTACGAAATAAAACTTACTATTATTTGCAATGCTCAAAGATAAAAATGATGTAACAGCAACAACAGTCTTTGAATTAGAATTACTTTCAAGCAGCTTAAGTAACTGGGGGAAAAGGTCAGAACAAATCACTTGATTTTTCTCTAAAAAAAATTATTTAGAAGAATCAGATTTATGGGTAAAAACTAAATAAAAATAAAACTTTCTTTAAATATACCACATTAATCATAAAATACAGCTCCTTATAATAAACATAGATTCCATTTACTAAACATCTTGAAAAATAATTTTTGCACTTTTAATTTCGTCGGGGGGGGGGAGGCGCGGCGCGCAATGAACTGGAAGTTGATCTGTCAGCACTATCCTCATCTTCAGGCCAGATGTTTGTATTTAATTCAGCTTATAATTTCTTACTAAATATAGTATTTCATCTCGTCCTTGATATGATTTAAATCAAATTCCTCCTCATTATAAATATCACGAATACACATCAAATAATTTTCTGGTTGCAATTTTCTAACTTCGACTATGCGTAATGTATGCTTTACGCATGCATGCATTGAAAGAAATGTTTCATAAAGTAAACAAATAAATATTAAGCCTTTTTTTGTAAATTTTGATACCCTTTTGATCATAATTGCTCTTTATTTTATAAATTAGGGTTTCATATTTTTAATTGCATATTTTCTGCATGCCATCTTGCCAGATTTAAACTGATGATCTATAATCTGGAAAACCCCTAATCTGGAATTGCCAAAGTCCCAACAAGTCCGGATTAAAGACTTTGTACTGTAGTAAGACAAAAAACACCACTACATGGATAAATCCATTTTAAAATTTAGGGAAGCTCATTCTCTGGATGCATAAAGGAAGGGGAAAATTACGAATATTTTTTAACTTTCAAAGCTTGCCACTGAAAAGCTGGGGAAGGAAATATGCGAGGAAATACGCTATATCTAAAGTTCACGATTTTTCCATAATCCTCTATTCATACCCATAGTTTCTTCAAAAAATATTTGGATAGATACATATGAATATATAAGCATATAACTGGTCCTCAAACACTGGGGATTTGAATTACGTGTTTTCCCTTAAATCAGAATCTTTTCTCAATAAATATACAAGAAAATATTGAGATTTATCACAATATGAAAAATCTGGCATACAAACTGTATTGAACAAAAATATTTTTTTAAAGTGCTGTTATGTCATGAATACTTAAAATACATTTAGATATTAATCGATTTAATCATTTACTATCATAAATCTATTCAAAAAGTTTTTATCTTTGATGTCTAGTGTTAGTAAAATGTATACCATGTAGTATTTCATATACTAATACATATAATATATAGTGTTTCATATCATGCAAGAAGTACTGATGTGGGCAAAGGCAGATTTACTCTGCAGACAAAAGAAAATATAGATGTTGATAAATACCTACAGTAATGAAAATGTTATCTTTTTTCTTCACACTTTTTATAATATATTTCTTCTCTTTCTTGAAAGAAAACAGTGTTTAAAAGATATAACAATCACATATTGAAATACACTATAAGAAATGACAGACTATGTCATCATTACAGTTTCTAGTAAATGTAGGTTATTATCAACGAAATTTTAAAACTGCCAAAAATTAGACATGTATTCAATACTGGTGTTTAATGCTCCTAGGATAAACTAGCAGGCAAGCTGCTGAACATTGGTAGTTCAATCCAGGTTAAAATCCTCGCGAATGGGGTGGTAGCACAAGAAATTTCGTGGTTCCCCCCCCCATGAGTAATCTGAGTATAAGCCAATTTCTCTTAAAAAATTCTCCGTGAAGACATTCCTCCTCTTAGAAAGACAGCTTTTCCATGCTTTAGCATAACCTAAATAATCTTATCTTTCTGATACCTAGGTCTCTCACTGTTCACAGTTAATTAATAGTATAAGCTTTTTTAGATATATTTCTATTAAAACACTTTAATCAAAATATTAGTTTTAAAATCATGGGAAGATCAAAAAGTAATAATTTAATACTATAAACAGTAATAAATCTTCCAGTACATGCTGTATTAATGGAATATTTATTTTCAAAGCTATGATACAAACAATTCTTACACAGATCTCATAGTATTTTAAGATAAGCAAAAAGTTTAATAAACACAAAAATATTCTCAGTACAATACAACTGTTAGTAAATTATAAAATTCAGAATACCTGTTGCTAAATGGATAAAACAAATAGCTAAAATTTCTTATAATACTATTGCTGCTTTAGCAATATATCAAACGACTTTTGACGCATTTATTCGTGTTGTGGAAAATGAAAAATTATTGCTTTAAAAATAACTTAATGAACTAAAAAAGGAATAATCTAATAAACTTTAGAAACTTTCATTAAAAAAATTAGAATTGAAAATCATCAGCAGTTTTCAGTTATTTCCATATGCAGTCGAACCCCGCCATATGAAGGTGAAGGGACTGGAAATTTGGTTCGCTAGATTGTGGTATAGCAATGTAAAATAATAATAATAATAACAATAACAATAATAAAAAAACCATCATTTTTACACTTTTTATAAAAATAAAAAGTAATGATGAATTTACCTTTAACTTAAGATATGTAGGGTTGCAAAGGAGAGATTCAAAACTTTTGTAAAGAATACCCTGTTTCTCAAAAGACCTAAAGCATGCAAAAAACACATTTGGAGCACCGAACTTGAATAGTATTTACACTCAAAAATGAAATAAATAAATAAATAAATAAAGATCTCTAACCATTCTCTAAACGAATCTAAATTCTCTAAATTAATTCTCCATTCTTTAAAAGCATTTTCTAAATGAAGAATCAACTGTATACTGCTATCTCATAAGATTCACTGCTTTCTCTACCTCTGAACAGCAAAAATTTCCATCCTAGTAACATGGTTACATATACCATATGCAAACGAACATCACACTATTTCCCCAGTTCTTCCAGACTGTGTATCACACCTGTTTGTCACAAGAAACAGAAGAATGGGATTGAACATAAATAAAAGTAATAGAGAGGTGTTTTCCTTTACGAATGGAATGTGGAATGTAGATCCTAACATCCTAAACGTGGATGATTTTAATTTCTTCATTAAAACTTGGAAAAATTCTGAAAAAACACAAAAAATACAAAAATGTTCAATAGAAGATATCCACATAGCTCATTATATCCGATTTGCACACCTTTTTTGGAAGTGCGCTATAGCAATGTAAATTAATGTTAAATGAATAGAAAATCGGATGGAACCCAAACGTTATAGTGCAGTTAGACTATATTTGCATATAAAACTGACATGTGCATACATACACACATGTGTATGTGTACAATTTATCTCTAAGCTGGCCTGAGTTATTCTCGTTATTCGAAGAATGACAATGATGCTGTAACAGTCATGGCGGAAGCATAATCATTGCAAATATAATCGCCCCAGTATCAACACACACCATATTGAGAAGCAATCTGAAATATGTTTTTTGAGTAGTGAAGGTGTTAAACCAGGTTAAAGTCATCGCAGGATGAATATGCAGTATGTTGTTTCATGTGCGTCTCTACAGCAAATGTGAAAGTGGTTCAGAAAGTTTAAAAGCCACATCACATCTGTGAAAGATGTCCTGAGACCAGGCCAGGCACACCACATAATGATGAATGAAAACATCCCTGAGAAGAGCTTGTGAAATCCATCATACATAAGTGTTAGTTCAGCATCCAAGATGTGCTACAATTCAGTAGTGTTGATGAAAAAGGTTCCACATCAGTTGATTGCTGAAATGACAGACCTGCCCAGTAATTTTACATTGTTAACAGGTTAAAGGTAATGGATTTATGGAAAGATTCACAAGTATTTTACGAAGTATTGAAAAGATGTACCATGGTTAAAGTATGAACCAAAACTATTTTCATGAGGTATCCATGCACTTCTGAAGCAGTAAAATATGTGTATTACTGCATGTCACGAGGACTACATCGAAAAATTATGCATAGATAATTTTTCTGTATTTCTTCATTTGCCTTGTCTCTACATATAATAAAAGAAAGAGTCTGTCTGTTCACACTGCATGTAAGCTAATAAACCCCCGGCTAAGAAATTTGGTACATAGGTGCACCTAGACAAGAGCCAGTGCACCCCGAAGCAATTTTTTCCGAAATTAGAATTAGAATTTTTTGTATTTTGTTTTGTGACGAAATTGCGTCATTTTGAGACATAATGGGTTATAGGAAAGAGAGATTTTACTCTACACACTCCATTTTCACACCCATCGTCATGAAATGTAGCCACTTAGCTATTTTACGAAGTTAAAATAAATTTCGTGTTTCAATAAATCGATTAAATACGAATTTATTTAACAAAAGGAGCTTAACACCTTTTCAACGGGATATTTTCTAAAAAAGTTTATTTTTAAAAATGTACAGTTTATTTTTCTTTGATTTTTATACACGTTAAACTTTTGTCCTTGCAACTGCTTTTGCAAAACGAATTTTGGAAAAAAGAAAATATTTTGTATTTTTAAAAAAATTTTTAAATGAAGCTTCCGAGTACACTTTTCACACCTTTAAAAATGTGATTTTGGCAACAATTTTTCTGTTTTATTGTTGTTGATAGATTTTTGATGAAATCGCATCATTTTGAATAGTTTCATTCTTTTAGAAATATGGGTTTGGCAACAATATTTCATCGTATTTCTTATGTCACTGTTTTTAAGAGATTGGCATATTTCATTGTCATTTAGATATATATAATACATTTTTATTGATTTTTTGGATAAAGTTGTTCTGCAGAGTAAAATTCTGCACGAAATTTTATGTTTTTTGAGTTGGTTTCATGTTATTTTTTTTGCTTATTTCACTGTTTGTAAGATATTGAAAAGTTTTGCATGATTTTTTTCCTTCAACGGAAAGTTGGTTAATTTTTTTATTAGGATAATTAATATTTGTATTAAGAAATATAGCTTATTTCATTGTAATTTTTTTCTCTTGAAAATATAAGATAAAATATCATTAATTATACTTTGCTTTTCAGAATTTTTTGTTTTTTGTATTCTTTTATGTTATTTATTGCTCATTTCACGGTTTTTAAGATATTGAAAAGTTTTGGGTGATTTTTTTTAGGAAACAAAGTTCTTAACCTCCTTTATACCATTTGAGTTCTTAAGATTTTGCAAAGGGAAGTTGGTTGATTTATTTTAGGATAATTAATATTTGTATTAAGGGATATTGCTTATTTTATTGTAATTTTGTTATATGTAATAACTTTTTTTTATGAAGTTGTTCTGCAGAGTTAAATTCTAAGCAGATTTTAAATTTAATGTTTGGTGTTCCCTTCAGCCATTTTCCCGGTTCATTTAAAAGCCAGACAAAGGCTGGCAGCGAAGCTGCTAATAATAAATAAAGTTTTCATTTATATCACTCCATATATTTACATATATACACGTACAATGATGATGCATGAGTGACTCAGTCACTATGACAGTTTTTTAACCTCTTTGCTCCTAGTGTACTATATATAATAAACTTGCTCACCGTATCAAATATAATATGGGAGTGAAGTGTAACTAGCTGCTCACCATACCGTATTTGATACGCTGAAACAGAACAATTTATATCAAATTTTAATTGTGCTTAAATGGCATCAGAATACCTTAAAACTTTATAGATTAGAATATCCTGAATATTAATCTTGTTATTATTAATATTTTATTCTAAGAATATAAAGCACACATTAAGTACACATGTTTGAAACTAGATTTTTTGTACACTGCAACATGCTTAAAACTTTGCACAAATGAATGGCAAATAGGATACAATATAGTCTGAAATTTTAATTCTTAAGCTTCTTACTTCATTTTTGCATGGAAATAATTTATGCAAATATAATATCTTAATTAGAAATGCTAAGATTTTCTGTTAATATTATAAAAATTATTATTGAAATAGCCTATACAATAATCCAAATATTTCAATAAAAAGCAGGTTTTACAGGAATTATTTTTGAACACTAGGCTCAACTGTAAAACACGCTCAGACACACAGTGATGTTCAGCACTCCAATGTCACAGATTAACAGTAGAAATCCTTTTTAACAAAACCAGAAGCAAAAAGGCTTTAAAAGACCATGAAATTCTAATTAACATCACTAAATTAAAAAATAAAAACTGTTTAATCAAAGTAACAAACCATTTTGAGGGTTATTAACGGAAAAGCAAAGTGCAGAGTTTGTTCTTAACCATATTTCATTTGGTGGCTCTTCATTCTTTGATACAGCTGTACTTTCAGTTATTACACCAGGTGCATTCTCACTACAATTTTTAAAAATTCTGAATAAATTTTCTAGATTTAGTACCAACAATTATTGTACATAAGAAAAGCAGTTTACAATAAACAGTGCTAAGTCCAATATCCGGAATTGTCAGAACTTCGGTGGTTCCCGATTTCAGAAACTTCCAAGTTTCAGATTGTCAGTTTTAATCTAATAAAAGGACAAATAGAATTTAAAAAATAAAATATGAAATATTTGTTTTTGAAATAATAAAGCATTTATGACTTTAAGGTAATCAAAATTAAAAAAAAAAAAAAGAGCAAAAGCCTTTTTTTTTTGGAGGGGGGGGGAGCATCATGTTTGTTGTATAAAGTATGTTTATACCAATGTATATTTTTTAAGCTGTTTCATTGTCTCCTTTAATATTTTCTTTTTAATTTTAAAGACTGATATAATTTCATATTCAGTAAAAAGTTCTATAGTTCACGTCCTGTAACTGTGTATCTCCAGAATTACTACTAAACTGTCAGTCGAAATCTTTCTATTCTCAATAAGCTCTTGCCACTTTCTTCACAATCTGTAGCGATATTTTCTCAATTTAAAGCATACTACAGATTTTGCCATCTGTTGGTTGACTGATGATTGAGACACTGCCATCAAACGGGAAACTTCAGTTATATAAGCTTCATTTGTTATCACATCTCCACATTCCTTCACAAATTCTATTAACAGAATTTTTTTTTATTTCTACAGCAATTCTATGGCAAAATAAGGTTGCTGTTTTACCTAATTTTGAAACATACTGTGTACATAATTTTGAAACAGCATATTAACATTGGTCAGAATGTGATTTCCTAGCCAGCAGTTGTTTGAAAGTGGTGTACGGGAATCTCAGTTAATTGAGAGAAAAGTCTCTTTTAAAACACGGGATATTATAATCCTCTAGTCATAGATTTTGTTATGAAAACAAAAGTATCTGAAAAGCATAAAATGGTATGATACGTTAAGGATGATCAAGTTTAAAGGCAGTAAGTTTATTCTTATTTCACTTAACATTTTTTGAATTATATTTGTTACTGACAGAGAAACGTTATTTTCACATTAAAAAAACTGAAAAATAGCAAAAAAAAAAATTTTTCATTTATCTTCAAAAAAAAAAAAAAAAAAATACATATATGTATGTACTAAATTTATATTAGGAGATAATATAATCAATATTTCTTTAGTAAATAAATTATTATTATCTTACTTTGCAGCTATTGCACAAGTATTAGAAAAATTTGTTTTCGAACTGAGTTTTAGATCATTCAACATATATTTATATATATATATATAATTAAAAAAATCTGAAAGGTTTCAGATTTACAGTCACACAAAAAGGTTTGTTAAGGTTTTTTTATGCTCTCACTGAGCTTGCAATCTATCAGTCTTCTGTTACACTCACTCCTCTTTTTACCTTTATTATCAAGCATCATTTTCTTCGCATACGCAATTCAACAACATAATTCCACAATAATTTTAACAGCAGCATAGCAGTATGCATTTAGAATTCTCGATACAGCATTAAGTGTTGGCATATTTTTTTTTTCAGTCTTTCGTCAATTCATCATATCAATGTTCAATTTTCTTACTAAGCAGGACTTTACAAAACTTTTTGGGTATTCTATTATTAACGTCGTGTTTACTTTATTTATTCAATATCCCATTCTTGGCACTTACGGCACATAAAATTCGATTCAACAGCAAAATGACAAAATATTTAAAAACAACACATCTTTAGAATTTCCGATAGACATTCTTGTACGCTGGAGATAAAAATCTTTTTTCACATAAATATTGACAGTGCTCGCTTTGAAATCATTGCCTTTAACTAAAAATTCATTAAAGTTCTAAAGAATACAAAACAGATAATTAAACAAATTAAAAATTCAGACTTTGAGGTGCCCATGTTTGGGTGGAAGAACACGATCGTTAAATACACTGCCCTACAAAAGTTAAGGAACAGCGTATTTTTCAAAGCTCACTGTTACAAAAATGTCAGTAACGCTTAAATTCACAGTTCATATGCGTGACAGTAATGCAGTTGAAGAAAATATATGCAGAAATAATAGCTACTACTTTTATTTTATAGAAACGAATACTTATATAGGAGTTGGAGAAAAAATTGCAAAAATTGTAATTTTTGTTCACGAATGTTGATCTTCATTGTTATTACAGTTTCGTGGACAATATCCAGGAGAGTCTATCAATATCCATGAGAAGTCATTTGCACATGAAGGTGGAGAGCAATTGGATGAATGAAAATGGGGATGTCACAAGCTGATGCTGCTGGACATCTCAATGTCTGTCATAGTGTGGTCCACCTATTCCATAGTCAGTTTGAATCTGAGGATTCTGTGTCTAGAAGACATGTTCCAGGCAGACCTAGTGTTACAACATCTGTGGAAGGCCAATATTTAGCTCTTTCGGCATGAAGGAGGAGTAACGTTACTGTACTTCAGCTCGTGCAGATCATTTAGTGGTAACAGGAACAAGAATCTCAGCTACTAAAGTGTGCAGATGCATGTATGTAAGACGATCAGTTGTTCATGTCCCCTTGACCCAAGTACACAGAGGTGCACGCTTATGTTGGGCAAGAGAACACGTCTCCTGGACCAGTGAAAAATGGGGGCATCTGTTCTCTTCACAGATGAGTCCAAGTTCACATTGGAGAGTGTTTTAGGTCATCAGCTCATATGGAAAGAACAATGCACCAAATACAACCAATCTCATGTTACGGAAAGACACAATTGCAGAGGTGGTGGAATAATGGTTTGGGCTAGGATCTCTCTCTGTGGTCATACTGACCTGCATGTTTTCTGTGGAGTAACTTTGACTCGTGGGAGATATCAAGACGAGACCTTTAATCAATATGTCCACCCATATGCCACTGCTATTGGCCCTGGATTTCTTCTGATGGACGACAATGCGTGACCGCACCGAGCTCGGGTTGCTGAAGACTATCTTGAGGGTCACAGTATGTAGCAGATGGGCTGGCCAGCTCAATTCTCAGACCTGAATCCGATAAAGCATCTTTGGAACTACCTTGGGAAACAGGTTGTTGCTTTAAGTCCTCCTCCAAGGTCAAATAGATAAGCTCTTGAACAAGGACTACTCTATGCCTAGTTGTTGCTTCACTGATTTCACTGATCAATGTATTGCAGCCAGGGGTGGACACATTCCTTATTAGAACCCATTTTTCTTATGTTACCACTCCATTTTTCCTCAAAAAACTGTGATATACTGCTTCTCCAAGACTGGATTTCTCTGCCAAGAGTGCAATTTTTTGTTGTAATTCATGTTTGTGTTGAACTTTAGGAACACTGTCACATTCATTAAAGAACTGCTTAGTGGACATGTCCTGTGAATTTCTTGTTTCTATGTTGCTTCATTCTCATATCAGACACAAAAAACATGTAGTTCTTAACTTTTGGAAGACAGTGCATTACCCTATACAGATCCAGATGTGCCAGACTATCATGTTCCTCTGAACATGATAGTCTGGCACATCTGGATGAATCTGAACTATCATGTTCCTCTGAACATGATAGTCTGACATTATCATGTTTCATCACATGTATCATGACATAGTTTAATCAGTATGTTAGACATAGGCTCAACTACGTACTGATACTGATACAACTGACTGTAACATACTGATGAAAATGCTTGACTTCTACAAGATTTATGTCCACATCTTCAGGATATGTTTGGCATAAAGCTCTATCTCCGTCATGAATTTCTTCTTCTGTAGTTTCTAATTTTGTTAAGAATGAGAACTTTTTTGCAGCATCATTGTATACTGAGGCCATCTGTGCCCAACTTGACTCTAAATCATCAATCGCAGGTATAAATGTTTTGATTCTGAACTTTTTTATTGGCATAACATGTTCTAAAGCATCATCTTCATCATCATTGATAAACCTTCTACATCTGCTTTTCTTGTAATCAACATCACACAATTTTCTCTTTGCTTCTTCTTCAAAATGATCGAACATATCTCTTGAACCTTTAACAAAATCCGAAGGTGAAGCATACAATTTACTACATACATCTAGACTAATTTGGGGGTCTTGCAGTGATTGGCTAGTCTTGTGAAATTCCTCCAGCAAGTAACTCCACAAATATAACATTACCATAAATTCAAACCCCTCCATTTTATTCAAAATGTTTATTGCTCGATTTCTTGTTTCGCCTTTCTCTGTAGTATCAATATGCAGCTGATGGCACGCAGAAATTATTCCATCATAACTATTAAGCATTGCACTTATGGCCATTGAATGTGCCTCCCCATCTAGACTTTGACAAAGACTTTTGAATCATCTTTGAAAAATGACAACAGTACTTCTCATCTATGTGTAAATGACGAAAAGAAATTACATATTTCTTGAACAATTCCAAAAAAGTTTACAGCATCTAAACAACAGTCAACTACTGCTCTATCAACAAGATTCAGGGAATGACCAGCACATAGAATATACATAGCATATTTGTTAATCTTCAATATTATTTCTTGCATACCCTTGTATTTGCCAGACATATTGGCAGCATTATCCTATGACTGGCCTCAACACTTACTAAAGTCTATTTTGCACTCATTTGTTAAAGGTAATTGTACACCATTTTAGTATGTACACCACATACCTTCCCCTTTGTGGCTACCCATCTCTAGGAAAGTTAGAAAATGTTCACTTAGGGAGATCATCATCTGGTGAAAGATACCTCACAATAACAGTGAGCTGATCAATATGGGATCGATCTGGAGTGGAATCTACAGATAAACTGAAGTACCCTGCAGTTCTTAAATCGTCCAAGATTGAGTCTCAACGAAATTGCCATTGTGAGGTGAACCAAATGTTTTCTTATCTCCTCTGAAAGGTAAACCAAATTTTGCCATAGTAATTATGACTACCACAACTCATTCAAGAACATTTTTCCAGTACTACCGTTTATTATTTTAAATAATAAGCGGACAATTTTTTTTGCAGGGGGGGGGGCCTAAACTATAGCTTGTGTAGCTTATATGTAAATCCTGCTTTGTCTTGTATCTGTAACTGCAGTATTACTGACACTAAAATATTTCTTTCTAAAAGATACTTTATAAACTTTTTCCTAGGGACTGTGAAGGGTTTAAATAGCTTCTTCTGCAAAATATTTGTTACAGAATGTAACTGTAAGAATCTGTAATGACATCAATGTTGATTGACTCTAAGAAGTAGTTTATGAATATAATTGTCATCTATCAATGAGCTTGTCATTTTGAATATCTTTAGGATACAGCATTTTAGAGAAATTTTTTAATAAAAAACTTGGCTTCAATGCTGATATAGGATTGCCCACTGTTATAGATGAACAAAGTAATCTGCAAACATGCTTCTAAGATTCATTACATTGAATAGCACATGTCAAATATCAGTTTATTTAAAGTCTTCTCTACTGCTATCATCAATATTATTTTGAGTGCTTATCAACTCTCTTATTTGTCAAAATACATTCTACTTCTTTTCCAAAATAACCCTCACTTTCTTACTCAAGAAAAAGACTTTAAAACTCACCTGATTTTACAAAATATAAGCAAATGCATAATTTGACACTTTTAAATTCTGAATTAGTTTCATTATATGAGTACAGATTCAGAAATAGAAATTAATTGATTCCATATTTTACAATACAGAATTTCATTTTCAAAACAATTCTTCAGTAAATCAATAATAAATTTACCATCCTCATCTTCAACGAGAATGGCAACAATACATATTCACTCAAATAAATGTCAGCTTCGAATCAAAAACCAGTTTTCAATCAAAAAATTTCCAAAATAATATTTCATATTCAATTGCTAAATACTGGCAAATTTTGCATTTATTCCTGCCCATTTCTAAAATATAAAAAATATGTGTCCCTAGTTATTCACTGTATCTGAACTGAAAAAGATATGCACGAATAAATCTTTGTATGCTTTTATACTTCAAATATAATTTATAATAAATTTGATTAATTTCAGTTTAGTGTTCATAATTTCATTTGTAAAACTCAAGAAACTTGATTACTGTATATAAAACTGTATTTGCTCTTTGCCTTTACTAAAGAAGTGAAAATAGATTACTGTAATTTTGAAAAGAGTAAATAAAATTTCAGAATTTTTTAGGCTGATAAGAAGACTCTGACAGACAATACAGCAGTTACAGCATATGAAGTATAGATGAATACTACTCTGAAAATGCACAAGTATTTGTATTAAGATATTTTGAATTTTTCTTCTTTCCCAAAGATCAAAATGCCTTTTTATTGCTAGTTGAAACTAGCATACTTTAGGTCTAAACCTTACTTAGTCAAAATCTAGCTAGCAATTCTTCAGCTTTCTGGTAATTGAAATTTGCACTAAAGGAAGATTTCTGAAGCATTTTAATCTTCGTTAAAGCTAATACTTCAACTACATTTTAAAAGATATCTTTAGAAGAAACTGCAAATTTAAGATTGCACAGAAAAGTAATAGTATTTAATACAATGCATTTCTAAACTAATAATGGTGTCTTTCTGAACTAATGCAAAAAACATTAAGAGGTGATATACACTGAAATAAACACCTTTCATTGCAGAATGTATGATTGAGAGTGCATTGGTAATGCACAAGAGTGTACATAAAAATAAAAGTAGAGATTTTCACAAGTGAATTCAGTAGTGACTAAAGATCCATATATGGATAAGAAGAAAACAGATATGCATCTTCCAAATGGTATTTTACACATGAAGGCATTTTCAGTGCTCACAAGGTGCCTATTTGGGACAACTATTATTCATATGCAACTTGTCTACATTCCTACAAATGACTCTTTATAGTGAATATGTAGGCGAATGTTTTTAACACTTACTTTCTAGCTTACACTACTAAAATATTTGAATCGAATGAGCTACCTGGTATATCCCAAGCAAGTGGTGTGAGACTATTGCAGTTTGTACTTACAGCCATTCACCACAATGTGCGATTCCAGCATGATGGCTGGATTCCCATTGAGTCCAATGAGGATCTTGTTGCTAAGCTTTCAGTAGCTGCTGCAGAAATCCACAATAAGCCTCGTATTTTTCTGACTACATAGGAATTCTTATTTTGATGACGTGACGACTACCTAAAGAGTGGTGGACGCTATTTTGAAGAGTTTTTATATGTATAATAATTTATTTCTGCAATTACTGGTCTTTCTACATGTGATTTCATTTGTACCTTTTGTTCATTACATTATTCTAAAAGTATTACTTTACCTTGTCAAGTAATTACTGATGTTCACTTGTTTTTACAAAAGTTTTATTTCAATGCTTTATGCTTTTCCTGTTTATTCCTCGGATCAGATTGTGTGCATGCCAAAACGGAATGTGGCTACTAGCACAAAATCACTGCACTTGTGGTCTTACATTCTAAGGTGAAAAAGGTTGTATTAGTTTAAAAATACATAGTTTATTTTAATCATTACTGAATAACACACAAATGGGATATAGTGTGTTAAACTGAGCTATATCAAACAAGATATGATCTACTTAATATGGTCAGTTAGAAAGCAGTCATACAAAGTATCTAGAGGCAAAATTAGCAAATAAAATGTAAATATGATGAAAGGTTACATTCACACTGGAATATATGTTAAATAACTCAGTGGTCTAGAACATAAATACTATATTAAATTTACAGCCAAGATTAATATTAAGCTCATAAAAGAAATACATCACTTAACACATGACAATTGCACAGAGCAAGTTCTATCGTTTCAGGACAAATAAGTTAATGAGTAATAAAAGAACAATTTTATTACTTGTTTAATTTCTTTTTTTCCCTTTTTAGCAAATCTTTGATTTTGCTTCTTTAACAAATTGTAATGAAATGCAATTACTTAATTTAGCATTTCAAATGCTAATAGACAAGAAAAATGATCACACACACAAAAGAAGAAGGTACAGAGTCTGATTTTGATTAGTCCTGCAAGTTTTAACTTACATCTTATCTTCTTTTGAATTCAATATACATCAATTGTTGAAGATTTAAAATATTTTTGCAACTAATATTAATTTGCTTTTAACTGGATGAAAATTAAGGAATAATTTCCATAAGTTCTCTCAGAAGAGATGCACTTAAAAGAATTAGAATGTGCAATTTTGAGGGCATCATACAAACCAATCACATTAAATCTTTTACAAAAATGAGACACAAAATCAAATTTGTGGCACAGAAGTGTGATGCACATCCACAAGATATTTAGTGCATGTGATGTCATAAAGTCAGATCACAGACTGCAATAAAAATGAAGATTTTTTATAAAATCTCCCTTATTTATAAGCAACTCCCAGTGTGATTTACAGGACTCTACAACATGAGGTACTACAACATGAGGTACTTACTCTAAGGTAAGCCAAGAGCCAGTGCAGAATTTGGATGTCTTACAGCAATGGTCTCCAAAAGGAAGTATGCATACCAGAAGGGGTATGCCAAAGAAATAAGCTCATGATCACTTCCAAACGAATGATCATGCATATTACATTATGCTGTATTACTAGGGGTATATTATTAGG